CGAGGGTTCGGATCCCACATACAGACCGGTTCCCGCTCACTGGCTGAGCGAGGTGTGGGAGCAACGCCGAGGGTTGCAATCCCGTTGCCGGACACGAAAAAAGACAAAAAGGAAAAAAAAAAAAAAAGAATGGGCACCAAAAACTAGGAAATTTTTTTTGAACAGGTGGCAATAGTGAAGGGACAGAGAAGGGATGGTGGTGAGACGCCAGTTTGATAAGGAGGAGGAATGAAAGACCAATGTGGGGGACTGTGCATACCCTAAGCAACCAGATGGAGGGTCTCAAATTGTGTGGGCGTGTGTGCACACGTGCGGGCACATGGGGATGGGAGAGGTAGGGCAACGCCACTGGGAAGGTTGGATGGAATGGCACTGTGCACAGACTAGAAAGCCAGCGCTGGCAAGGTGTGCTTTCTTCAGCCTGTAATGAAGGCCCCTGAGGAGAGGGGCTCCCAGGTCAAAGGAGCACTTGGAGGGCCATTATCTGGCCCCAGTGTAGCCTGCATGGGTGGGGGACCCCAGAGGTCAAAATACCAGGTGAGAGGCAAAAGTGCCAGGGAGAAGTGGCCTTGAGATTGGAAAGACAAAGAAGCAGTGAAATGAACTGAGAGAAGAGTCCATAGTATTGGGTGTTTGATTGGAGGCTGCTATGGGGGTGGGAGTTAGAGGGAAAGAGATCGGAGTGACTGCAATTTTCATCCAGGGGCAGGGAGAGTGTTGCTTGTGTGGGGGTGGGGATTGGGGTGGGGAAGAGGCTGAGTTTCAGTTGAAACATTGGCAGGACATCCTGTTGAAAATTCAGAACTGGAGCTGGGAGGGGTGTTGGGCCGAGAACCACAGAACCGCAGAAGTGGTTTCCAAAGCATGGGTGGTAAGCAGTGACTATACAGGGAGAAGCTGGCCAAGGACAGCTCTGTAGAACACCAGGGGACTAGGGACAGTGAAAGAGTGCTTCGATTTATAGGAAAGGGGCTTAGGTGTCTTAGCTGACCGTAACTGAACATTTTTCTTAAAAAAGAAAGACTCAATCTCAGGCTTTACCTCCCTGCCTCATAAATACTTAGGGTTTCTCCTGCCCAGGCATCCTCCCAGCACTCTCCTTCGTGTGATCTCCTTCCTCTGTCCCCTCTTTCTCAAGCTCCTGGAATGCAGGCCTCAGGGGAAACCAGATCCTCAGAACTTCTGGGTCAGGAACTTCTGGTCTGAAACCCAGAAGCTGGGATAGTGGTAGCCGAGGTGGAGAATGGCCATAGAGGGGACAGAGTTGTTTATCCATTAGGCAAATATCTTTTAAGTGATTTTAGTGTTAATCAGGGTCCGCATATCCAATAATTTATAAACCCACAGTCATGACATTGGGAAGGTCTGAATGAGACACGTTCTTGTTATTAATTCTAAAACAGTGTTAAAACCACAACCAACAAAAAATCCTTCTAGAAAACCCTAGGACTTCTGTGTTCTGAGTATTTTCTTTAGTTTTTAGTCACTTTGTTTTAAAATATTAGTTTATTATTATGCTAATCTTAAACACATTAAGGTTTAAAATTCGTCATCCTAACACAACTATTTTTTTTTCTCGCTCTCCTCTGATAGTTTTATCCCTTCATCGTTAAAAAAAATCAAGAGAAAAAGACAATTCCGCTTAATATAACTACTTCCAATTTTGTGCGTCTTTTTTATTTTTAGCCACATACATAATTCTTACATAATTATCATCAGTATATATGCAACTCTGTAATCTATCTTTCCACTTAATGTCATTTCCAAGACAATATCCCTGTCCTACATAGTCATATTTTCATTCTTAATGTCTTCACGATATTCTATTATACAAATATACCATAATTTATTTAATCATTTTTCTATTCTGAGACATGGCGTTTGCTTCCACTTTCTCCTTATTATAAATATCATAGCTATAAACAGTACTTGTATCCTTTTTCCTCTTTTGAATTATATCTTTGGAAAATTCCCAGGGGTGGAATTATTAGGTCAAAGGATGTGAATGTTTTTATGGCTCCAGATGAGTGTTGCCAAATTGGGCCTGGCCTTCCTGCCTTCTGCAAAGGCTCACTGTACCTGGTGTGCAGAAATTGCAGGCTCAGCGAGATGTGCCAGGAAGGGGATATGAGGTGAGAGGGACTCATGGAACCTTGTTCAGCAAGGAGCCCTTTCCTCCTAGTGCATTCCTGCCTGCAAGTCCTGTGGTCCCCACTCCACCAGCAGGGAGGGGAAGGGAGGAGAGGGCAGGAAGGGGCTGTGGCCACCCTGGGAAATGAAGCAATCATCTGTTACTTCCCACTGGAGCAGCTGCAGATAGTGGGAAATTACATACTAGTGAGAGGGGGACAGGTGACAGTGTGCCTGGAGATAGCAGGATCCTCACCCACCAGTCAGGGATGGAAGCAGAACGCCTGAGTGTTTTGGGCTGGCCTCAAGGAAATCCTTTGCAGCCTTGGGCAAGAGTGGTCTGTGCTCACAAGAGAAGCAAACTCACTTTTTGGCTTAATAAATATTTAATGAGCACCCATTGTGTCAAGGTCTGTGCTGGGAATCCTGCAGGCAATGGGAAATAAAACTTGGATCCTGTCCTCAGGGAACTTGCTGTCTAGTAAGAGAGTCAGAAAAATAACAGGTGGCCGAGTGTTCTAACAGATCTGGGCATCTTTCCCATAGTGTGGATGGGCTGTGGGAGGGAAGGCTTCCCAAGGAGGGGATACCTGAGCTCAACCTGGAAGGACAAAGAAATGGAGGGTCCAGAGTGAAGAGAAGGGTGTCGCAGCTGGAAGAAGCCGCAGGAGAGAGGAGATTGTGCAGGAAGTTCGACTGGATTTAGTTGGTGGACTGTGTGAGACCTCGAGAGCCTCTTTAGGACTTGATCTGGGAAGAACCAAGATTTCCACACAGAAGGTGCTTCGGGGCAGTCTAATTGCAGTGAGAGAGCCCAAGGAGCTAGCTCTAATGCTGTTATTTGTATAGCAAGTACACTTTTCGACTTAAATTGGACATTTATTTGGTGTGGCTGATGAGATTACAGGGAGTTAAAGCTCTTGAAAGCCATCTCTTGGTGTCACGACTCATTTTATTCTCAGAGCAATGGGGGGGTTGAGAGTTATATGATCAGACTTACATTTTAGAAAGTTCGCTGTGGCTATGGTTCAGAGAATGGTTTGGAGAGAGCATGCCACAGAGACTTGCAGGAGGCTGTTCAGTCATTCGGACTAGAGACCAGGAGAGCTGGGCTTCGGAAGGGACCGTGGAGTCAGAGAGGGTGAGGGGAGTTTGAGAGGAGGACCCTTCCTCACAGGGACAAGAACTTTCTACCTAAGGCCTAGCTGAGAACTAGGGGAAGGGGCAACATTGTTTCAAGGGCCTGTGCTCTAACAGGGATGCCCAGGCATGGCCATCACATTTGAAGGGCAGGCAGACCAGACACTGGGTTTCTTGTGTCATAGCAAAAAGCAGCGGACCTGTGCCTCCCGGGCACCTGTGAAGGTGAATTTTGTGTGTGTCGGCGTGTGTGCACTGGAGGAGAACCAAGTGAGTGTTAAAAATCTACCTGGAGGAAGCTAAGCATTGTGGTGAACAGAAGTTCAGAGCTCTGGACCATATTCCATCACTAAATTATTGTGGGATTTTGAATTGATGGCACAAAATTTGGGGGCACTCTCTTTTGAGGATGTGGCCCAGGGACAAGTGTATCTCCCTATCATCAAGATGATAATTCCATCCCTCCCTGGCTTATTGGGAGGATTAAATGAGATATATATATATAGCCCTAGTCAAGGATTTGGAAAAAATGGAAAGGACTCCACAGATACAAGATATTGTTACCACTGTGTTTTGGAAAAGTTGTCTGGAAACAGCTTGGTCCCTCAAAGAGCAGCAGGAGCTCCGGAGCCTGGGTGTGTGTGTGTTGGGGGTCGGGGTGAAGCTGTGGGGCGTTCACCTCTGCTTGGGCCTCTGCTTCCTCCTCTTCTTGTGGCTTCCCTTTGAAGCTCTGAGCAGCTGTTACAGACGAGAGGTCAGGTGGGGCTGGGCCCAGGCCACTTGCTCAGAGGCAGAGGCTGTGTTTGAAGCCACCAACCAGGGGCTGGGCAGGATGTCCTGTCTCTCTAGTGTTTGGATCAGGCTCTGACCTGGTACCCCAGGGGCCCACCAGGAGGCCTGGTTGTGAGGAAAGACCTGTCATCCACACCAGAAGGACCGCTGCCCATCCCTGCAGCCAAGAGCTCTGCTCCAGCCACAGCCAAGGCCAAAGTCCTGGAGCTCCCCTCTGTCCAGGGACAGAGACAGGAACTCCCCTCTGTCCAGTGAAGCATTTTGAGTTTTAGACCAAAAGCAATAATAAAGAACAGAGCAGGGAGGGGAGAGGGCCAGAACTCCAGCCCAGCCGATGGCTCTGCTTGTGGGACATTGGCAAGTCTTGAGGAGGATCTGAGGCGCCTTCACCTGATGCAATGCCGTGAGCAAAAGTGTGCACAGTGTGATGGGCTGGGGTGGAGGCAGCTTCCACAACATGAGGTTCAACGTCTTTATTAGTTTGCTAGGGCTGTTGCAACAAAGTGCCACAGAATGGGTGGCTTAAACAACAGAACTTTATTTCCTCACAATTCTGGAAGCTAGAAGTCTGAGATCAAGGTGCCAGCAGGGTTGGGTTCTTCTGAGGCCTCTCTCCTTGGATTGTGGATGGCCATCTCTCCCTGTCTTCATGTGGTCGTCCCTCTATGCGTGTCTGTGTCTGATCTCCTCTTCATGAGGACACCAGTCATATTGGATTAGGGCCCACCCTAATGACCTCATTTTAACTGAATTAACTCTGTAAAGACCCTATCTCTAAATATAGTCGCATTCTGAGCTACTGGGGGTTAGGGCTTCAACATAGGAATTTGGGGGACACAATTCAGCCCATACCAACAGTGGCAGCCTGGAACCTCACTTCCAGCTGTGGGTGAGAATGGAAAGGTCACAGCAGAGGTCACCACTCTCAACCACAGCCACAGGGGCAGCAATGAAATAGCAATGACTCTGTATACCTGATCCATGCTGGGAGTCTTTGATCCGAGTGGCCCAGGTCCCACATTCCCCTTTATGCTTGTTCCTGGGCCACATCCTCAAAAGAGAGGGCCGGGCACCAGGGCACACTGCATCCTGCGCTGCATTGGTGCTGCATGGCTCTCCTCACACTGTCCACTAGCCCCAACTCAGGCACAGTGTCTGTCACCTGCTCCTGGGCGGATAAACTCCTGTCACCTCCTGCTAACAGCGTGCAATGCTGCAGGCTGCGTTCTCCAGCCATTGCGAGCTGCTCTCAGCCCCTCTGAGCTGGTCCCTCTGCCCGTGACACCTCCCTGCCTCTTCCCCATTGTCCCGCGGGTTGTTTTGTCACTGTTGGCCTCTTACTCCCCAGTGGTTATTCCATTTGGGTTCCATGTGTCCCCAGAGAAGACAGAGGAGAAGAGGGCACACAAACAGGGTAAGCAGGGCAGGGAACATGGTCAGCAGGAACCGACCCACTGCCTGTCCAGCCTCTGCCCCCAGGAGATGGGGCTGCAGGAGGAGGCCTGTGTAAGGTCCTCTCCCAGCTGCTCCTCCCCCACCTCCATCCTTATCTGGGGGTGGTCCCCAGATGTCTCCTCTCACCGAGAAAGGAGGGCAGGGCCCTGTTATCAGGCCCGGGTGAAGGAGATTTCCCACACCCCTGGCTCCTGTCTCTCCTCACTTCTCATTCCTCATGGAGTCACAATTCCCCTCTCATCATCTGGGCTGCAGAGGGTTTAAGTTGACAAGGAACGAGGCCCCTTTAAAGTTGAAACCTCACCGTGGCGGATACTTGAGTGTATTTGCAGCCAGGAGGCCGAGGTAAAGACACCAGCAGTTGTCAGGCTGGAGCCAGACCTGCCCCTCCCTAGAGACAGACCAACAGTTGCTGCCCCAGCGGAGGACACACATTTTCTAATTATTATTTTCTAATTGTGAGAAATGAGAACAGCTTCAAAGCTAATGAACATTACCGTTTTTGCCCATCCTTCCAAATTCACTTCTGGTCTTTGTCAATGTATATTTATATGTTTTTATGAAACTCGTCACTATGTACAAAGCACTGTGGACTTTTCAGCCACTTTTTGTTGTTGTTCCGTACACATCCCATGTGTAGAAATGTTGAGTATTTGTCATTTTTAATGGGAGCATAATGTTTTATTACCTTTGTGCTCTGTAGTTTACTTCAACTATTCTCTAAAATTTAATATTCAGATGGCTTCTAATGCTTCACCTTTACGGGAATAGCACTGCTAAAGACAATGTTGCATAAACCACTTTTGTCTTTATTTCCTTTGTATATATTCCAAAAATAGAACAAAGCATTTTCAAGCTCTTGTTACATACTGCCAGATTATTATCTCAAAAGGGCAGAATTGATCAATATGAGGGGAAACTCCTACACTGTTGCTGGGACTGTAAAATGGTGCAGCCATTATGGAAAATGGTATGGAGATTCTTCAAACAACTACAGATAGAACTGCCATATGACTAAGTTATCCCACTGCTGAGTATGTCTAAGGGGCACCTGTACTCCCATGTTTATCATAGCTCTATTCGCAATAGCAGTTGGAATCAACTTAAATGCCCATCATCAGATGAGCGGATAAGGAAAATGTGGTGTATTTACACAACAGAATACTACCCAGCAATAAAAAAGAATGAAATACTACCATTTGCAGCAGTGTGGATGAACTTAGAGAAAAAGATGTGAAGTGAAATAAGCCAGGCACAGAAAGAAAAATACCACATGTCCTCACTTATATGTGGGAGCTAATAAAATAAATAAATAAATAAATAAACAAAGAAAAAAAAGATACAACAATCACAATAATATGTTGAACTTTTTAAGAGAAGAGAACAGAACTGAGGTTGCTGGGGGTGGGAAAAAACGGGAGAGGGAGAGGGGAAAAGGAGGAATTGGTAAAGGGAAGAAATAAACAAAAATAAATAAATAAAAGAGTTGATCAATGTGTAATGCCAACAAAAGTTTTTTAAAAAAAAAACAATTTCCCCCATAATCCTTGCAGTTTTGGCTTTTTATCTTATGACATATTTCTGCTAACCTAATAGCTGGGCAACAGTACCATAGACTTACTTTGTATTTCATTGACTAATATGTCATGTGTCTTCCCAAGTGATAACTTTGGAGTGGTGTTTTCTCCCCTTGCTTTTGAAGTTTATCTTCTCTCATTGCTTTCTGGTGTTTCTTTTGCACAGATTTCACATATATAGACCTGTTGTGTGACTTTCCTTAGCAAGCTTCTACCCTGCAGCGTTCGCCTCCACTGAGTCTTCTTAGATTAAAGCAATGGTTGTCCACCCTGGATGCATGCTAAAGTCAGGTGGGGAAAGTTTCTAAAATACCAAAATCTGGGCCCTGTTGGAAATAAAGAAGAGGAGCTGAGCAAACTGCTGGTCTTATTTAACAAATGGAAACCCCGAGACACAGTGGCCCAGAGATTTGATCCAGAGGACAAAACCTAAATCTTTATCCAGTGGCTAATGTCTTTAAACCAACAAATATTTATTTATTTATTTATTTATTTATTTATTTTATTTATTTATTTTTGTCTTTTTTCATGTCCGGCAACGGATCGCAACCCTCAGTGTCGCGCCCGTACCGGACCAGGACCGGCAATGGGATCGCAACCCTCGGTGTTGTGCCCGCACCTCGCTCAGCCAGTGAGCGGGAACCGGTCTGTATGTGGGATCCGAACCCTCGGCGGGAGCGCCGCCAATGCCAACAAAAGTTTTAAAAAAAAAAAACAATTTCCCCCATAATCCTTGCAGTTTTGGCTTTTTATCCTTATGACATATTTCTGCTAACCTAATAGCTGGGCAACAGTACCATAGACTTACTTTGTATTTCATTGACTAATATGTCATGTGTCTTCCCAAGTGATAACTTTGGAGTGGTGTTTTCTCCCCTTGCTTTTGAAGTTTATCTTCTCTCATTGCTTTCTGGTGTTTCTTTTGCACAGATTTCACATATATAGACCTGTTGTGTGACTTTCCTTAGCAAGCTTCTACCCTGCAGCGTTCGCCTCCACTGAGTCTTCTTAGATTAAAGCAATGGTTGTCCACCCTGGATGCATGCTAAAGTCAGGTGGGGAAAGTTTCTAAAATACCAAAATCTGGGCCCTGTTGGAAATAAAGAAGAGGAGCTGAGCAAACTGCTGGTCTTATTTAACAAATGGAAACCCCGAGACACAGTGGCCCAGAGATTTGATCCAGAGGACAAAACCTAAATCTTTATCCAGTGGCTAATGTCTTTAAACCAACAAATATTTATTTATTTATTTATTTATTTATTTATTTTATTTATTTATTTTTGTCTTTTTTCATGTCCGGCAACGGATCGCAACCCTCAGTGTCGCGCCCGTACNCGGGAGCGCCGCCGCGCTTCCCAAGCGGTGCACTACAGCAGTGCGCCACCGGGCCGGCCCTGTGGCTAATGTCTTTAAACCAAAAAATATTTATTGAACACCTATTACATGTTGGCCACTCTGCTGGGAATATGGGGATGCCAAGGTAAAAGGCCAGGGTACCTGCCTTCAAGGGTGTGGCGGGGGTAACATTCTGGTGAGAGGGACAGACAGTTCAGTGTAGCAAGGTAGGTGCTCTGAGAGCGGTTTGCATGGGGTGGTTGTGATGGTACAGCCCAGGGGAGAGATCCAGGAAGGCTTCATGTGGGAGGCAGCAAGGAGCTGGGTCTTGGATGATGAAAAACAGCTATCCAGGTGGACAGAATAAGGATCAACGTGTCTGAGGTAGAGGAACAGCATGTGCAAAGACACAGAGGCATGAAAACGCATAGCAGGTTCAGAAGGCTGCATTGGCAAGGGCCTGGAGTTGGACTGCCAGGGTTGGAATCCCAGCTCCACCACAGCTTTGTCACCTTGGGCAGCTCATTTAGCTTCTCTCAGCTCCAGTTCCACCATCCACAGCATGATGATCATAATGCCTGGCTGGCTCGGAGGGTGGTTGTGAGGATCAAATGAGATAATCTTCATCAAGCACTAAGCATAGGACTGGCTATTATGATTGAGAAAGTGTAATCTTTTAGGAAGGACAGACAGGCAGGGGGCTTATATTTTACACTAAGATGTTTTCATTAGCAGGTACTACATAGTGGGTAAAGCACATGCAGACATGATCAGACTTGTGTGTGAGAAATATTATTTGGGCAGCAGAGGGGAGAATGGACAAGACAGAGAAGAGCAGAGGCAGGGAAACAGGTGATCATAATCTCTCCCATAATCAAGGGAGAAGTGATGGCAGCCTGAAGGTCAGTGACCGCAGTGAGCGTGAAGCGGCCAGACCAGAAATATGAAGAGGAGACAGAGAACTAGGCTTGGTGACCTACTGGACATGAGAAGGCAGCAAGAGAGCAGACTCTGATGTTTCTGCTTGCCACCCCCAAGTCTCCTGAGCTTAGCCAGGTCCTGCAGAGCCAGCAATCACATCCTTTCTAGATGGGCCTGTCGTCACTGCTCTTCATGCTTCCAGGGACTGACTTCCTGGGATTGGGGAGACTGTGGAGGAAGAACACAAGGGCCCCTTGTTTCAGAGCTGGATGGAGGCGACACCTCTCCCCAAGGAAATGAGCTCAGCTTCCCCAAACCTTCCCTCCTGCAAAAGAAATCTCGAGCTTGGAGACTTGGAACCTGCTCCAAGGCCCTCAGTGACAACCACCCTGAGGCATGTGGATGTCTTGGGCTGTGAAAGCCTGTGGTCCAGGTCCTTCTCTGCCCAGGGAGGGGTGGCCCACAGGAGGGATGTGCACTGCACAGAGGAAATGGCTCAAACCAGATATCGCTTTGTTTGTTTTCCCTGTGAAGAAAAAAGACCATTTTCCTCTCCTCTTTTATTTATTTTTTAGGGATCAGGGAGATATTTTTAATTCCTCTAGTTTCCTGCTGTCTACAGGTGTTTCCTATGGTGTTGCTGTTGAAAGGGACAGAGCCCATGACATAGTCAGCTTTGATCCTGAGATTTTCAAATGTCTCCCTGCTATGACTGTGAGCGCCATCTTAGTTAGACACTTCCAGGCAAGGCCAGGTGAATGCACTGCTCCTCTGCAGCCTGCTCTGCCTCCTCCACCACCCACCTCGTGGGGCAGGCAGGGCTGCCAGGAAGTACAAAACGGGAGGTCAGGAGAGGAGGAAATCTTTGTTCTCCAGCACGACTCTGGGGTTGTTGAGTTGCTAGCTACTGTGGCATTAATGGCAGAGCTGCAAGGCAGCTGCAATAGAATTATTCTTTGCTTCTCATATGTATGACAGCTCTCCCATCTCCAACCAGCAATGACATCCCTGAAGAACGGGGGAGGATGCCCTTGCTGTTGAAACGGCAGAATATTTGTTCATTTTTACAAAAAGAATGTTATGCATAAACTAAAGCTTTGGGGAAAACATNCGTTTAAAAGTATGTTTGCGGCTACTGCAAATGAGGCGAATTGGCCTAGATTTTAGTAAATCTCATACTTCCTAGAAATAGCTTCAAGGTAAATATATTTAAGTTTA